AGAAAGACAGAAAATCACGCACTGCTCTTGACTGAAAAACTTTAGTAGCCCTAAAGATTAATCTAAATTTATTTATAGAAATAAATATGTCTGCTTGAAAGAATGAAGAATATGGTAAACAAGTTGCTATAAAGAATGCATAATTAGCCTATATAACCATTGGTATTTCATTAAAAAGAAGACCATGTTCTTGTTCTTTATGAGAAGTGGTTTTATTTAATTTTAACTTAAAGGCATGTTGTGTGTCACAGCAGTTAAATTGGTGTCTATCATGATAAAACCTTAATATCAAAACTATTATGAGTTTGGAAATTTTAGAGAAATGCTTAATAAATGTACTGTAACTAAACACATTAGATTTTAGCCGACTAAATTTACTGCAGATTTAGTTTACTAAAATCTTATGATATTTAGTCGACTAAAACTAGACGAAAACTAAAAACAATTCAGATGACTAAAATATGACTAAAACTAAATGGCATTTTAGTCAAAAAACTATGACTGAAACTAAATCTAAATTTGCTGTCAAAATTAACACTGGTGTATATTAACAATTAATGTATATAATTAAAGTCTTAATATCTTATGCAGTGTTGCTACAAGTAAATTGATCTAAAATTCAAGGATTTTTGATATTTTAAAATCACATCCTTGTCTTTATTTTTCATATTGCCTGCACGTAATTTCGCCGGATTCAGCAGCAGATTACACTACAAATAAACGCATAATCGCTTACTTTATGCCCTCCGTGTTTACTTCCGTACGAAAATTTTGCCAAATCCAGTTTCCCCGCAGAATCAGGCTACTTTTCCCACTGTTGCCGCGGGATGTTTTTCAACGTCGTGGGACGACGCGACCCCACTAATGCGATGTTTATCCCCCTGAACATGGTTGTGCTAGTTTTGGACTAGTTTTGTGAAGCAATTGTGCGGATTTTGTTGTGTAAACCTGGAAACCCTGTTCGTATTGTTCTTTTGCGCATGCGGGTCAGTTCAGAACCATGATCTGTTCACACTGTAAAACTGATATTGGCCACATTTAAAACAACAATGTGAACCGCTACACAAAAAAATCGGATCTGATAAAAAAAATCGGAATTGAGCACTAAGGCTCGCAGTGTGAACGTAGCCTTTGACTCACGTAAAAGTAACATGGTACTGAAACACAGCTTCATTTTTGCAACAGATGGGGATGTAGTTTGACCCGATGGATACGGGACAGCCTTTTGTTCCCATTTTCTGCAGAGGCTCCCTGTAGAAACACATTGTAGAAGAGAAACATTAGTCTGTACCAACTTGTTGGATTGATTCGTTGCTAAGCACAGCACCAATGGAACAAATCATTTGCAAATTAGGCAGAATTGGGTCATAACTCAGCTACAATGTATATTATGTACACACAGTTAAAAAGTTGGGGGTCAGTAAGTCTCGTGTTAATAAAGGATGCATTTATTTAATCAAAGATATTGTGAAATATTATTATAATAACTGCTTTTTAGTTTAACATATTTTAAAATGTAATTTATTCCTGTGATGAATTTTCAGCATCATTACTCCAGTCTTCAGTGTCACATGATCCTTCATACTAATCATACTAATATGCTGATTTGCTGCTCTAGAAACATTTCTGATTATTATCAATGTTGAAAACAGTTGTGCTGCTTAATATGTTTGTGGAAACTGGGCTACATTTTTTCAGGATTTTTTAATGTACACATGGTTAAAAAAAAACTGCATTTGAAATAGAAATATTTTGTAACATTAAAGATGTCTTTACTGTAATTTCTGATCAATTTAATGTGTCCTTGTGGAGTATGAATTTCTTAAAAACCTGCTTGAAATGATAAAAAAAAAAAAAAATTACAAACAGGACAAGAAATGACTGAAAGAGAACTCATACTTCACTTTCTCAATTTTCACTTCAACTTTTGGGGGTGTTCCTGGAGGAACTGGGGCTTCTTCAGAGACGGAGGCGGCAGACTGCAAGGAGAACGGGGCAGCAACGGGAGAAACGGGACCCGACGGGCCAATCGGTCTACGGCCTACACTCATATGGGGCAACGCAGCTCTGCCAACACCAACAAATCCTCTGCCCAGGACACTGCAACCACACAAAGCAAAACTCATTCTGATGCAGTCTGATTCAGTCCCTAATCTCACCCAAAAATGAAAAAGATCTTTTCAATTGTGAAGCAAAATAAGTTCCAAAAACACAATGACAGGCCCATAAAATGATCATACAGGCGACTCATATGACTTCTTAAAGGGGTCATATGATGCGATTTCAATTTTTCCTTTCTCTTTGGAGTGTTACAAGCTGTTGGTGCATAAAGAAGATCTTCACTCAAGCCCTCCGTCCTCTGCTCATTCTAGGCCACCGTGTGTGACGCTGTGTTTCATTGTGAAAGCGAAACTACTTTAATGAATCCAGAAATAAATAAAACAAAAGGGAATTTGGAATAAAACAAATTTGTCGGTTTTTTTAGTATTGACATTAATATTGCTATCTGACAGTGTGTGCCAAATATATCAAATGGGAACAGCTGCTGATTGGCACATATTGGTTCAGACAGTTGATTAATCCCAGAACCGGTGCATTTAGGGACATAAGAAACACTGTGACAATGAGCCATAGGTTGTTATAGTGCTGGAAAGGCTGAAAGTGAAATCTTAAAATGTCATGTTTGTGTTGAGAAAATATATATTTTAAGCCAGTCAGGTCAAGTGCAGCCCCAAAAAGCAGAGGCTTCCCAAGAGTTGTGCGGAAAGGTCACAGAAAGGTCACTGTTTCAGACGCCAAGGACTATTTCAAACACTATTCAAGTCCTTACAAAGAAAAAAAGCTCTTAAATAGAAGATTAATGGGCTTAAGTTCATCATTTGTATTTACATTGCAGATTAAGTTTGTTTTCATTATTAGCTACTTGACCTTCCTGCTGTCTTCAGCAGTAAATTGCACGTCTAATTGGTGACTATTCAACTTTGTTGGTGTTGCCAAGGATACAAAAATGATGGCGCACAATTTAATGCCCACTCCAATCAACCTAGCGCTGACATGAATAATAAAACCGGTATGAGTTTGATTAAATGCAGTACACAGCAGGGTTGACTAAGACGTGTTGTATTTATAATGGTATAATAGTATAGGCCCTGCTCCTTATGCCAATATGCAACTTTTTAAAAACCAAATGTTGCATCTCAACCTGAATGAATACGCAAACATGTTGGCATTAAATGTTCACCACCTTTCAATGGTTTGGGGTTGGTCAGGGTTATTTTTATGTTTTTCCCAAAAAAAAACAAGGCTACATTTATTTGATCTAAAACCACAGTAAAACTGTAATATTTTGAAATATTAATACAACGTAAAATAACTTTTATTATCTGACTATATTTTAAAACAATTTATTCCTGTGATGACAAAGCTGTATTTTCAGCATCATTACTCCAGTCTTCAGTGTCACATGACAAATCGAAAATCATTTTGTAGAAACCGTGATACATTGTGTAGAACTCCTTGAATAGAAAGTTCAAAAGAACAGTATTTATATGAAAAATAAATATTTTGAAACATTATATTTTAGGGCTGGGTAAAAAATATCGATATCTCGATATTAATCGATTATAATTTTTACGAAACGATATTGATTGTTAAATCCCAAGAATCGATTAGTCCTGTTTTCAGTTAATGGACGGAACGTTGAAGGGCACCTCCCATCCAATATATCGCAATAAGCATTGTGCTTTGGTACTTTTAATATGAAACAAAGTCTCAGATTTCAAATTCTGTCCGTTGTATTGCAGTATTTAAACAATAAATGCCATTTTGGCGCTGTTTAATGTGGAGTGACAGATCGCTGTAGCGCCTCGATCATCAGATGCAGCAGCGCGAGGCGCACGTGAACTAATCATCTCCTCCACATTAATACAAGTTTCAGCACAAAATAAACATGACTAAACATCCGAAGGTAAATTAAAAGAAAGAGTACAACTTTACAATCCGTATCCTGTCTCATGTAATCGCTCAATAAGTGTTTCAGCCGCACAAAGACGTCAATATAACGGCTTCTAAACAATGTCACGTAACGTCACATTTACCTCAGAAACAAACATACTTGGTGACCATAAACTCATTAATCAGCTGGAAAAATAAACTGTAGAGAGAGGCATTTTACTAAATATATGCACCATACAACATATTCATTATCAATTTTACTGTTCTTCAATGTTTAATTTATGTTTGAATAAATCCATCAAGTTTTTATGCCAGCCACCATTGTTTATATTTAAAAAAAATAATAATAAAAAAAAACCGAATTGAAGTAGAAATATTATTATGTAATTTTAACTTTATTATTTTAAAAACTTCATTAAGTGTAATTTTAACAAATCAGTCAATTTTAACCGTCAATATTACAGTAATGTATTACCAACTGACTCTCATGTATATTTTACAGCATTAGTTGAGATCTTTTTTCTTGAGAAAATTTGGCATGTACTGTACCTGATATATATCAAAAATAATCGATACTGAATCAAATCGGCAATGGAATCGCAAGCTTGTGAATGAGAATCGAATCGAATCGTGACATTTTGTCAATTTATCCTTGCTGAATAGAATAATAATTTCATTCAAAACAATAATAAAAATACAGAGAGAATATATAATACATTTTTTTTTAAATTATAATAACGAAAAATGTGGTGCCAATCTCTTTTGTCCTTTTTGGAGTTGTGGCTGTGAGTAAATGATGACTGGACTTCAATTTTTGGGTGAATTTGAAGTCAATTCCTGAAAATCTAAAGATGCATACATGCACAATGAAGCAAAAATAAAGCTTTTCACTTTTTCCTTTCACATACCAACAGGTGTAGCTCCTCTGCCCCACGTCTTTCCCGGTTCAATGCCCAGGCCCCTGAACATGGACACCAGCGATGACCCCGGCCCAGGAGCCTCAACCTAAAAGAAAGCCAAGCCTGAGACTTTTCCATAAATCTATTGCTAAATCAAATGTGTTAATCTGGAACTTGTATAACAATAAACACTTATTTCCTCAAATTTGGTGAGACTAATTAAATGCATTTAATTGAATTCACTAATTTAATGAAGTAAATATATGTGCTGCATGTTTCAGACTGAAGCATGGCACTGTGTTCTTTTACGCAAGCAGCTCATTATCTGCTGGTGTTTGCAGCACCTAAGAGCAGCTTGGTTCACAGATGTTGTGAATGGAGTAATAATAGTCTTCAATAGAGTAACAGAAACAGCTTAAATGACCATGTTTTTCAGCTTGAATTAATGTGTTTGCATAGCAGAAGTGACTGAATTCATTTTATGATGCTGCACAAAAATTCAGCAAACAGTTTGTTTGTTTTAAAAGTTAGTTGGCTTAAAATTAAAATAATAATAATAATAATACAGCCATACAAATTAATATTGTAATTGTACAGTTGTAATGCAAAGTAGTGCTGGGCGGTATACCGGTTCATACCGAATACCGGTTTTTATTTTTGTTATGAAAAGTATAACTTAAGTTGTTTAACTTTCATTTGATTAAAAGATTGTTTTATGCCAGAAACTTTCATAGGGCTATTGTAAAAACACATTTTAATAAATTAGGTTGTTTTTATGCATTCAAATAATTAGACATAATTAAATTAAACACAGAATTTGGTAACAATAAAACAAAATGTGAGAAAAAAAATAAAACATTTCATAGGGCCCTAAAAATTTAATTTTTGTTAAACTTTTAATAAACTGATGTTAAATGGTTTCATGTTTTAATTAATTAGGCATGCTTTTTGATTAATAACATTTAATTTAAGCATTAAAAGGAATCAAGAATCAGTGGAATCAATGGAATCTTGAAAAATTAAAATGGAAAAAACGGAATTTGGGGAAAAAATAAAACAGATTTCATAGGACCCTAATTATAGGCTGGTTGTTTAAACACACATCAGTGTTCAAACACCACGTAAAAGTGAATTTTGCACAATAGCTCCCCTTTAAATCACAATTTCATTTTTTTTTTTTTTTTACCTGGGCGATCGCTGGAGCCACCTCTGTTTGCAGCTCAGGCATCTTTTCCTGTACATCTGATTTTTTAATGTCCAGTGTAGGCACTGGTCCCACAGCAGCCCCTCTCCCTATCCCAACACTGGGCTCTGGAGCGGGCAGCAAAAAACCTCGGGCTCTTCCAAAACCTCCCTCGTCTGTCGGTAATCGCACTCCTCTAGGAATGCCCACCAGAGGCTCGCTTACAGACGGAGTTATGCCTCTCCCAAACCGCACAGGCATTTCTCCAGGTCCGCCTAAGGCTCTACCTCGTCCAGGAAGAGGTTCATCTTTAGGCAGAACCAGACCTCTGGCTCGCCCCAATGGGGGCTGGTCAGGCAATTGACCCTGATCTTCTGCTGACTGCATCCATGGCATGCGGGTGACCCCTGGGGGCCCCGGAAAGGGGGGTCGCTTTGGATCCATTTCTTCCTTTGCTGCACTTCAATGCAACTGACAAAAACAAAGCACAATGAAGGTTCTCTTGACATGTCTATCTACAACACTGTCAAAGCACTGCAGAAGCTTTAAGGCAATAAATCATAATAGTATATCTCACTGCGCTTTTTCTTAGCACGCTTCCAAGAGGCCCCAAGAGTCACTGTGCAAGACTTCTAGAAAATATGCGCACTGAAGCACAAAAAAACTGAAATGCCCAAAAATGTCATGTTAATTGCTGTAATCGAGGCTAATGTCATTTTTGCAGACATTCAAAATCTTTATCTCAGTCGACATGCGCACGTGCCTGCCTGACAAGCGTCTAAAACTACAGCTGAGATTATTTCACTTTTTAATTTCGATTTGCAAATTAAAATTAAATGACATTTTTTGTTTGGCTAGGGGAATATAACATTACCGACGTGCATTTAGTACTTTTTTGGCCATTGAATGTCGAAACTGGACAGCGCGCGAAGTCCATTCAAACTGATTATTCGACAGAATGACGCACGCAGTAATAAAAAGCAATTCTATTCGATTATTTTAGAAACAAATGAGGTTGACGCATGCATAAAACCGTAAAAAGGGTATAAAGTAGGCTAACTGTACCTGCAAATGTAGTCGACACTTCTCCAACAACCGGGTGGACTGAATCGAACAATTACTGATTCAGTGTTGTCCGATTCGTGATTCTTTTCAATGATTCAGTTAAACCAATTCATGACTCATTCGTAAGTAAAAGGAAAGTTTGGGAACACTTTTGAACTTGTAACTCAAATAAATTGGTCAATGTTTTTAACATGTTTGTGCATTTAGTTTTTTTTTTTGATAGGCTAACATTAGTTATCAGTCCATTCAGTCCACCAAAATCAGTCCATTCTTTGTTAATATTTTATTTGATGTTCTCTGTAGACAGCAATGAGGCGTATTAAAATAAAGACTAGCAAAAATGATGTCTATTAAACAGTCAATCTTTAGCTTTTCTTATACATCTGATATATAAATGTGGACAAAGATGTTAATTTTAGAATAAACAAAGTTTTCCATGGATGTTTGTTTGAAAATCAATCCAGTACAAATGATAATTACAAGAAAAATACTACATACCTCCTCTCCTTCTTGTGAGATATTTCTAAAAAAAAAAAACCCAGGAAAGGGCGCTGTTATGGACAAACTGCTAAATTTAGTGTCTCTGAAAGCCCAGGATGTCCTTTTTATGACACACCACTTAAAACAGGGATGTGTGTGGTCTCACAGAAATGTATGAAATACAGACGTCCTCTACAGGGAACAAAATTCAGCTGTGCCCAGGAGATTATTAAAAATAAAAAGGGCAACGCTTTAACCCCTTCATGTTTGGAGAGTTCCATTAATGAAGCTAAATTCAGAAAAGAAGCAAAAACTGGTTTGGTTTCGAACGCAAGCTGCAACAAGCTTTTAACTAGTAAGAATAAATCTGGCTGTGCATGAACTGTTTCAAAAGTCATCAGAAAACTTCAGTTGAAAAGAAAAATAGCATAAGGAATCGTCTATTTTGAACAGTGAGCACCAGTTTGAATAGTTCATCAAAGTGTTTACCCCTTTTCTCCCAAGGACCTTTGCTGCATGAGAATTCATTTTCTTGCCACTACCAAAGTTCACAAAGTCAAGGCAAGAAATATTTTCACAAAACAGATGATGCTGCAGTCTTATAGGTGGAATGGATACTGTATTGCATTTGTTTCACCATGCACAGAGATAACTAACAGATCAGCTACAACTCTGACTTATCTGGTGCTGTTTTCCATACATATGTATCGCCCTGCTATTGTTAAACTTATAGTATCTCAGAAATTTTCTTCAGGTTTGTTTTCTGTTCTAACATTCTGCTCTATGTAGTAATGTGTAATTCTATTATATATTATGCTATTTACTCAATATGGTATTATCTTACTTAAAATATGATGAATGGTCATGAAAGTAATCAATATACTGATTAATATGCTTGAGTTATTCCAATACTGTAAGTCTGAGGGCCTATCCATTGGGCAATACTGGTGGTTTCCATTGGATTGTACCAAGTGAACTTAAATAACCCAATGAACTCTGGGTTATTCCCAGAAGTTAACAGGAACAAGTAAACAGATTTGATGAATGTCTCATGTGACCACCTTATTGGCAGCAGAATGAAGGTGGCTGATCTGGCCAAATTCCACCATTAATAAAAATGGCCATGGGAGTAAAAGTGGCTGATCTGGCCAAATTCCACTGATAAGAAATTGTGGCAAATCAGATAGACATAGCCAATAATAAAAACCGGAACTACCAACTTTGGTAAGAGAAAAAGGTATAAAACGGATGAGCTGACAGACAAAGACTCAGATGCGGCGGCCGTACATCGAAGAAAAACTACACAACAGTAGTGATATAGAAAAATAAAGATTCTAAAAAACGTTCAACAAACAAACTTAATTTGTTCAAATGAGTTACACTAAATACAAAGTCATTATCATACTTTATCATACTTTGGGAAATGTTTGATTCATTTTGCAGTCAGTAAATTTAAATTATAGTGTGTTGTATTATAAGAAAGCATCAAGTCAAACATCTCCTGCCATAAGTCTTTTTGTCTTCTGCCTTTGGAGGATTGTGTGACACATTTCTTCTTTATTTCCCCTGTGCTGTATATGATTGTGAAGACACAAGCTACATAGAGTAAACATTGTTTTATTATGCAGCCACAAACATATCTTTGAGCTCAACAGACATCTCAATTAATTATTAAAATGTCTACAGAGAGAACATAACTACTGGAAGGAAACTTAGCTCTGCCACATGATCCCAAATTCTCAGGTTGGAGATTAAGGTGATCCACAAAAAAGGAAATTCAGGATAATATCTATAAAGCAACAAACTATAAAAGGCTCAAAACTTAAGTATATCAAGCGCATACAGTCCCTTCACAAGTGACTATGCTGAACTGTGAAGCAAAGGCAGCAGACAGAAATAAAGTGATTTCATACAATGAGAAAAAAAGTGGTGTAGAATTTACTTCAAAACAATTTTCACTCAGAAATTGCTAGTAACTTTACCAAATAATTACAAGAAGAAGAAAAAACGCATTGAATTAAACTCATTTTTACAGTTTATTTGTTTTGACTGGTTAAATGTGGCATCCTATTTTCTTTATAAAGTGAAGTGACGAGTCCAACTCTCTAACCATTAGGCCACGACTTCCCCCTTTTCGTGTTTGTACTTGGCATTGCTGTATATCTGAAGGCTCATTGTGTCTTTCCTATCACACCGCAATTAAACTCACACACTCATTTGAAAGATTTGTAATTTTTCAAATGTTCTGTCCATTTATTTTTACATAAAACTTTTTTAATGAGGATCAAACTACTTGTGCACCAGAGATACCTCAGAGATTTAGTTTTCTAAATGAAATGTCAATCATGAAAATTGTAATTAAGATGCGGTGCTCTTGGGATGCAGGTTCAAGTCAGGCCTGTGTCAAGTCTTGATCTCATTCTCTTCTTGCAAAAATATATAATTATTATCTTTATCATAGAAATGTGATTAAATTATAGACCTACACATATGAGATTTGTAAGTAAACAAACATCTTTCCCAGCTGTACTGACTCACTATGGAGGCTCATAACTGAATTGTAGCCTTTCAATATAAATGAGGTAATTTCAGCAGCAGTCAGTGTCGCTCATCAGAAGCAAATCACTGCAATGAATATTAATTTAAGCTGACACTCATCAGCGGCACTCTGCACGTCAGGCTACTCTGAATATTGACCAATAAGGCTTGAGGGAAGCAGTGAGCATGCTGGGTCAAAGCAGCTTGGCTTTCATCTTTCTAGCAACACTTGACCCAGGTGCTTTGACCTTGAACATCAAAAGAGAAGCCAACATATCTTGGGTCATAGGATACAGCTACTTTACTGGCATGGTGTCTGGTAACTGGCACACTCTGACCTTCCTAGCAAGTGCGAAATGAGTTTAAAAGGACAGTCCACCCAAAAATTAAAGTGTTTCAGTTCCCATGGACTTCCATTGTAATTTTTTTTAAAAATATACTCACCCCGAGGCAATCCAAGATGTAGATGAGTTTGTTTCTTCATCAGAACAGATTTGGAGAAATAAAGCTTTATATCACTTGTTCACCAATGGATCATCTGCAGTGAATGGGTGCCGTCAGAATGAGCGTCCAAACAGCTGATAAAAACACAATAATCCACACCACTCCATCAGTTAACATCTTGTGAAGTGAAAAGCTGGGTATTTGTAATATAGCATAATATTGCTTTCTCCATTGAAAAAGTTGACTAATCTGAACAAACATATCAGTGAAAATTTGATGTGCGAGGACAGGAGAGAGCAGTATTATGGATTGTGGACTGCTATTTTGGTCAGAAGCTATGGTTTAAAGTTGAAATGCCTTAATGACGGATTTGTTTCATACAAACATATTAATTCATTGGACTAGAGTTGTGTGGATTATTGTAATGTTTTTATCAGCTGTTTGGACTCTCATTCTGACGGCACCCATTCACTGCAGAGCATCCATTGGTGAACAAGTGATGGAATGCTACATTTCTTCAAATCTGTTACGATGAAAAAACAAACTGGCCCTGGGGGTGACATGCCCCATCTGTTGGACAATGACAACGAAGATGATGGTGATGATAGCCGCTTTGACCACATTAGCCTGGGAACATGCTGTCCTACTCTGTGCAATTCTCCGCTTCATTACAGACTAATTTTTCATGCAACTTAACACCACGAGGCTGAGTGCTCACCATTCATGTACAGGATGTGTTTTATTTTTTGTTCAAGCACGGTCTCCGTAGCTGTCAACATTCAACTGATTGGTTTTGATTGTTCAAATTTTCAGGGCTTTTGTTCTCTTAGAGCTCTGCGTGGTGTTCTGGAAATTCTAAAATTATAAGCATTTTCATCTGGCGGTTTATCCAAAGTGACTTTCAGTACACTTATATCATGGACAATTTCCTCTGAAGCAACCTGGTTTTAAGCTCTTTTCTGTCAGTGCAGTGGTCATGAATCGCCCCTTTCAGGGTTTGAACCATAGACTGTAAAAAAAGATGGACGACACGTCTCCTATTCCTTCCACTATAGAAAAGTGAAGCCAAAGCATCTCAGTATGGCCATCCTGAGTAAATGACAGTAGAGTCTGCACAGTAGA